ATGAAGAAAAAGAAAAGAGCCCTAGAAAATCAGGTGAATTAGGAGTGCAAAAAAAAATATGGCAGGAATTAATCTATATCTATGGGTAGTTGTGATCAATGTGAAAGATTTTTCAGTAAAATCAAAGGCTGTCAGACTTATTTAAAGTCTAGCTTTTTTTTTCTTTTTTTTTTTTTAGGAGACACATCTAAAGAATAACAACCTGGAGAAGTGGAAAGAATAGCAAAAACAATTCTAGGAAAATACCAAAAGAAACCCAATTTACAAATATTAGCAGTGGGGGAAAAAACAGACTTTAAGGCAAATTCATTGTCTAGTCATTACAAATTGATCAAAGGTTCAGTTCACTAGAAGATAGAACAATTCAAAAGTTATATGCACCTAAAACATAGCTTCAACATATAGAAAGAAAAAAAAATAACAAACCAGAAAGAGAATTTGGTAGTCATTGTAGTAGAACCTTAATATACCTCTCTTTCAATAAAGGTCAAGTAGACAAGAATAAAGAAGATGTTAATAGTACAGTCAGTGAGACTGATATAATTAACATATATTGAACACTACACCCAACATAGCTGAAGAATTCATGAAAACATTTGCAAAATTTGATGGCATTCTGACCATAAAGAAGATTCACCATTTCTTACAAATTGGAATCAGATCACAAAGCAGTCAAGTTGAAATCAATAATTAAAAAATGGCTTTTAAAAATACTTATCTCTATTAAAAGTTAAAGAAGACCAAAAGACCAAAATAATGGAGAGACATAGCATGTCTGTGGATAGAAACGCTATCTTAATTATGTTAATTCTTCCAAAATTGAGCTACAAAATGCAATAATACAATGGTAATCAAAATCTTGACTGGCTGTTTTAAGTTTTCATATGAAAGAGCAAAGGCTAAGAATCACCAATATATTCATAAAGAGAATATATGATACGGAGATTCATCCTAGTGATAGGAAGACCTACAGTAGGGAAGACTTCCAATAGGTAGTGTAGGGAGACCCTAACTGAGGCAGTGTGGTTTGGGTGCAAAGAGAGACCGTAGGCAAGTGGATCCAAACAGAGAGCCCTGATCTGACCCACATGGGTGAGGGAGCCTGGTTCGTGACAGAGATGCCAGGATGGCAGGTCATCCACATGGAAAAATGGATTTTTACAACATAAACAACAACAAAAGAACTCCTTATGTATCAAGAAAAACATAGGACTTTCAGAAGAAAATACAGTAGAATATTGTTCTGCACACAGGTCAGGAAAGGACTTCTTACAACATAAACCACAAAATATTAATTAATTAATTACTACAATAAATTTTTGAATTCTGTTTCTCTAAAGACAGCATAAGGAGGGTGAGGAAATGCTCTTTTCAGCAGATATAACTGAAATAGGATTAATATCTGAAATATATATAAGGAGTTCTTGTGAATCACCAAAAACCAACCCAATATAAGAAATGGGTAAAAGACACAAGCAACCATTTTACAGAAAAGAGACCTGAATGCATATCCAGCCTCCTTGGTGATATATTTATTGCCATGAGAGGTAGTTGCATGGTACATTTTGTGATAACTCATTGAATTATTTATGGATACTTAAATTTTAGTAATTGCCTGTGCTTGGCATTTGTCTATGGTTTTATATCCTGACACAATATTAAGTGGAAACAACAAGCCACAGAGAAATAGCTATAATATGATATACCTCCTCTTTTCCCTACCTCTCTCCCCTCCTTGTGATTTATAGCCACTGGTGAGAACTGCAAATCTGTTTTGTTTCTTTTAATGGCAGAAATATCTCAAAAAGCGGGAATTACCCTTAGCACTTTGCTCCCTCCTTTAAAAAAATGTAGAATTTGAGTCCCAAAGAGGTGAAGTGCTTGACTAATTAAGGGCAGAGCCAAGACGAGAGATGTCAACTGACGACTGCCTGTCAGCCCCCTCACCAAAGGCATTTAGATCTAGGCACCATGGTGCTGGTCTGGCGCTTCCTCAATGTGTCACTTTATGCTCATGGTTGAGGGGGGATGGGGATTTATGTGCTGGTATGGCCACTGTTTCATAAAAAGCAGCGCATACATTGCAGTGGGAATTGCTGAGTTTGGGGGTGTCAGCCCCTTGGGTGCAAGAGGAGCCGTGCCTGTAACACACACAGCCGGTGGCTCTGGAGCAGAGACTGCTTGATGCAACTCATCTGTTTAATCTCCAGGGAGGCAATGGAGAAACCTGCAGACCTCCAATATCAGAGCCTGTGGGCAGTGGGTGGGAAAGCTCCTGGTGGTTTCCATGACTAATCACCCCAGTTAACCTGGACAGCACTTCACAGCTTGCCATTTATACACATACATTCCCCCACTTTACAGATGAGGATGGCGGCCCCTGGACACCAGCTAGTCCCATCTCCACAGAATTGTCAGGGTTTCTTCTGATTCAAAAGGGTTCTTCTGCCTCCAGAGCCTGGTTCTCCCCTGCCTACAGACCAGTGCGCAGCTCTGTACTCTAGGGATGCAGGAACAGATAGTAGAGGGCCCACCCTCATGGGAGTATGCCAGCCTGACTGTCAGACACATGAGCAGGTGACAGGCAGCAAAATTGTGAAACAGGACCAGAGAGCAGCCTGTCAGGGCTTTTTGGCCTCCCTGCTGGCCTGGTCCTCTGGGGAAAGGACTGAAGTCCTCAGGGGACGGTCACATACCAGGCTGCTCTCCCTGTGTGAATACTGAGTCTGCATGGAAACCCCAGTGCTGATCAGTACTTGAAGCATGGTCCATCCTTGATGACTGACTGCCCTGAGCTGGACAGGGCTAGCCTTCACTCTCCAAGGTCACATTTGTTTTCTCCAGAAACAGGGTTTCCTTTGCACCCTGGAAACTTGTAGTTACCTCCTTGTGAGGAAACCTTAGGCCTAGTTTGAACTCTCCCATGTGGATGGATTCAGAGCACAACCCCTGCCAAATGCCTCCCAGACTCCCTGTGGCTTGTACACAGGGCTCAGCTGCCCTTGCCCCAGGTCCATCAAGTGGGAGGTGGGGTTTGCAGGATCAAGTCTGTACAGTTCAGTCCCCAGGAGGCTGAGGATGGTCTCATGCACTCCTTAGTCCTCATGCCCCAGGATACCTTTGTGTACTTGCTGTCTTTCTACAAGATACTTTGTCTTTCTACAAGGCACTGCCATGTCTCTGGAAAGAGGAGCCTTTACTAGGCTGCCCAGCCATGCAGCTGGGTCCCAGACCCTTGCAGGCCCCTTTTCTGCAGGGTTACTTAGCCTCTCAGCATCTCACCCGAGGTACAGGAGGTATAGCAAGGTCCCACTGCTTGTTCTGTAATAGTGTCTCCTGGGCATGCTCTCCTGGCACCTTTCTCAGGGGCTCTGATGCCCATCCACTCAGGGCACACTGTGCCTAGTGAAGTTTGGTCAAGGGCATATGTGCCAGTCAGCAGGTGACTGTCAGACCTCAGCCCCTACTGTGGCCTTGACCAGTACCACCCCATCGGGGACTCTTAGAAGGTCCCCTAACCTTCTCTTCTCAGGACTCCAGGCACAATAACTGTCTGGAATGGCCTCATGGAGTCTGGAATGTGGCCAGCTGACTCTGAGCAGGCCCACCCACCCAAGTACTGCAGGTCAAGTAGCACCTGAGAAGACAGGGAGACACCTAAGAGGGAGGACAAGGCTGCTTTTCGGATGCACTTAGGATTTCTACAATGGAAAGAGGAAGTCAGCCAGCTTTGTAATGGAAATGCTGCAGGAGCAGCCTAGGAAGATAGACTACCCACATCCCAGCGGCTCACACCAAGGTTCTGCCTCAAAGGTGTGACCAGGAGGCCACAAGCTGGTTGTGGCCCATCTTCAAACCTCCTCATACTGAGATCCTGACTTGTGGAAGCAGGAGGTGGCCAGTATGATGGTCCAGCACACCACAAGCCCCTATCTCCAGGGGCCGCCTGGGGACAGCAGTGATCCTCCATGCCCCAGGAAGGAGTGCCTGGCATTTGTCTTAGCGCTAAAGGAGCCCGGATCCTGCAAGATGGGACAAATGCGGGTGCCTGGTCAGAGTCTCATGTCACCTGGAAATGCCAGCTCTGCTCCTGAGGGCCCCCACCTACTAGCCTCTGAGGTCTTTGCGGAGGCCCCCATTCTTGCCTCCTCATGAGCCCAGGGTTGGCTTTGGAAGTTGCACTGGGAGCATTCAAACTGGTCTTTCTGCTGGGCAAAGGTTGTGGGTTGAGGACATTTTCCAGAATGTGCTGTCCTAACCTCAAAGATATGTTCAGTTTTCATTTAAGAAATGAGGTTCAGATAAAATAACTTTAAAAAACGCATTTCAAAGCCCCCTCCCCCAAAGTCTAGTGGCTGAGGATAGGGATCTGGGAGCCACCTGCTCAGACACAGTGGGCACAGGTGCAGGGAGGCCTTTGAGTACTCTCACACACGCCCTCCGCATAAACTTCCAATACTACATCCTATAATCTTGGAGGTTACAGGAGACAGAGTGCGAGGCAGGGTACTGGCCCCAGGAGTGACCCAGGCCTAGCGCAGGACTGGGATAGGGCAGGCTTGCAGAAGAGAACATTACGTGGATCCCTCACAAATGCACATGAGCTCCCGGTGACAGCCTGACTGTGAGGCTCTCAGGGGCCCTGTTGGTCCTGTTCTGTGGCTCTCAGACCCTCTCTATGAAGTCCAGGGGCCCAGCAGCCTCCCCACTGGTCTGGGGGGTCATTTATCCACTCAGGCCCGTGTGATGGGGGAAGCCTGACTGGGTCAGGCCAGAGCTGCCAGGGAGCCAAGCAGAAGAAAGGAGCTGAGTGTGCCCACTGACAATAGCCCATTGGTTTTCCCAGGCCAAGTCCTTGAGTTCTGCTGCGTCTGCCATGTGTCCGCATGGCCCCTCTTTATATCTATTTGTACAGAGTTCTGTTACTGCCTTTTTAATTTGGTGTGACTTGTACTCGATGACAATAACCTTCTTAGCTCTCATGTCCCTCCTACCCCCAGCAGTTGACCAAGCTCCACCAGTTGGCCATGCAGCAAACCCCCTTTCCTCCCCTCGGACAGACCAACCCCGCTTTCCCCGGTACGTACCCAGCTGCCCTTTCTGACCTCCTCTCTTCTTACCTGGGGACTTTCTCTTTCTGAACTGTCTTTATTCAGGCCAGTGAGCAGAGTAGGTACAGTTCTATTTGTGAATGCCAAGGATGTGTTAACATGTGTCAACATGCACGTTGCTGAGGGCCACACAGGAGATCTCTCTGTGTCCCCTGAGGTAGGTTAGTCACCTCACAGCTGGCCGTCTTATGAAGGGACATCTGCCCCCTCAAAGGTCCGGGCCTGTTCTCTTCTGCACTCAGACGCTGTGGGGGGCCCCTCCTGCTGAACGCATCCATCCGGCCAGCCCTGGAGACTGTTCTCTCCAGGAGCAAGAGCTCAGACAAGCATATGGAGATGCTCTTTTGAAGAAGGCCAGTGCACATTCCAGGAGTGACACCCACCCAGGACAGCACCTGCCCTGCCCCTGGGAAAACCAAGATAAGCCAGTCCCCAGCCCAGGGCACAGTGGTCCTCAGCTCCTCTCCGAGCACAGGGGTAGGGGTAGATTCCTTCCAATGACACACACAGAGCATCGCCTTGGCAGCCGTGGCAGGTGAGAGACCATCAGACGTGCTGGTCTGCTGTATGCCAGTCAGATTTTGAGCTTTCCTAGTTGAAGTGACCTTGCTTATCTCCTTGAGGGCAAAACATTAAATTTGTTTCTTCTTTGCTCTCCAGGAGAAAAGCTGCCTTTACACTCCTCCGAAGAAGCTCAAAATCTGATGGGCCCGTCGTCAGGTAAAACAAAGTGCTCTAGTGGAGAAAAGAGGCTGGGCTCCAGGGTGCAACCTGGGGAGGAGGGGTCAGCCAGTGCCTTGGCAAAGGGAGGCCCGTGCCATGGAGGCAGAGCCTGTGTGCCCATACCACCTTCACACTCATAGTCCCCAGCTTCTGCCTTGGTCACTGCTGGGAGCGTTGTGGGGGTCATGGGCTCCGGTGGTGCCCACTGTCCAAAGTCCTTGAACATGACAGAACCACCATCTGTGTTGTCATTTTTCCTCCTGGTGGCACAGCATGTGGGGGGCCTGCAGTGAAGACTTTACCATGATGTGTGCCTTCCCAAAGCGTATTTCCTAGGAGGCAGGAGCACACCTTCACCAATAAGAACACTCTGGGCACCCCTTCTGATTAGAATTAAAATGGTCCTGGAATAGTGCAGAACAGGGCAGAGATGTATAGGTCCCATTACCCAAGGCAAAGAGCAGTGAGGCCCCTGGAAACCTGTGACCTGGCATACTGGCTTTCCTCTGAGGAAGGGGCTGCCTACTCCCCCTTGAAATCCTGGAACAGAGCAGAACAAGTGTCCAGCTAAAGGGAAGATGCAGGGAAGGCACGTTTCCAGTGGTATTGGCTGTGACCCCAGGGGTGTGTTCTGGGCCCCAGGATGTAGCTGAGGCTGGAAGAAGCCCAAAGACTTCATCACAGTCTGCATCTGGGTCCATCTGTGTACCCTGGGGCTCCCAGGCATCTTGAGGCCCCCACCTTCCCCCATGGCCCCTCCCCAAGGCCTTTAGGCCTCAGGGACAGGGGACTCATTCCTCCCTGTGATGACTCCCTCCCTCCCCAAGGCCTTATGGGACCTAAAGCTCCTGCGCTGTCAGGCACACACGCACTTGCACACATCCACATGCGTGCATTGCAGCAGATTAAGCTAGGTGATTGTGAGGAGAGGTGTTGACTTACTTGACAGGACCCTGAAGGCTAATGCCAGCATTGCTTCCAAAGCAGGCTCGGCTTGTGTTGGGGGAGCATTATTCCTGTCCCAGAGAGGGGATGTCATCATCTTAGGAGAGAAACATTCACTCCTGGGCACAGAGCCCTGACACACAGGAACACGAGTTCTAAATGCCATGTCTTCACATTATTAGTTCAATTTTACTTTGCTCTTGAAAAGAAAGTTGATAACTTTCTCCCCCTGATCAAAATATACTACATTGAACAGATAGGACTTGTGGTTTTATGTCCATCCCAAGCCAGACTGTTAGGAGTTCCTGTGTAGGATTCAGACAGGACTGAGGAAATCTCTTGAATGATGTTTTAAATGTCACTATTTATAGACTGTATAGATGGTTGAACAACCAAACAATTGTATTGAAAATACCTTTATTTAAAGAAGACAAAGAACAGAAAATCTAGGTTTAGCTATGCAAAAGAAAAACGATAGACAACTCAGGATGAACTGGTTCATGCAGCATGTTCCATCTGAGTCCCCATGCTCAGCAGGCTCCCAGGACAGTCCCATCCTTGCAAGGGTCACTCACGGCAGCGAAACAAATGGTCACAGTGCATCTGGTTTTGGGGACACAAGTGCCATGGAGGAAGAAGCAGAATGAGGGGTGAGGGCTATGAGAGGGTAGGAGGTGACACTGGGCACAAGCCAGCCCCAGGTCCAGAGTCAGGGAGCACAGGGCGGCAGCTGGGGGCACAGGGAAGAAGCTGGAACGCTTGGCGGGTTTTGAATCTTGAAGACATCTGATCTATGTTTTGTTGGGATCTCTCTGGGCCATACTGAGAGGCAAGGGCAGAGGAAGAGACCAATATGGGATGGGAAGAGGGCTCAGGTTCCAGAATATTCTGAAGGTGCAAAAGCCCAGTCTGTGTAGTTAGCTGTAGGTGGAGAGAAGGGGTGGAGCCAGAGGGCTTCAGAGTCTGGGCTGAGCTGGGTGACCTGAGATGCTGGGACTACATGGGGCCGGGAAGGAGAAGAGCAGAGTCTCAGCTGTGGGCTTTGGGTTTGAGATACCTCCTGAGAAGGAGATGGAAGTGCTGCATACAGGGAGCCAGCCTGTCTTGAGTCTTTGTCTCCACTGGTTTTCCCACCACGGTCACCCTATGCGTTTTGTCGTCACTGTTTCCAAAGCAAGAGTAGATCTTGTCCTGAATTCTGATAAGCTGTCTTGATTTATCCAGTCCTGGACTGAGATTTGTCAAGATAAAGATTGGGGCCTGGTGACAAATTAGGCCTGTGTCTTCATCTCCTACATAGGACCCCCGTACAGAGATGCAGTCTTCCAGTGACCCAGCAGTCTATTTTTGAATCAGTGAAGCACCAGACTGGAAGAACTGCATGCTGGGCCTGGGCTGCTGGGCCTGGGCTGCTGGGCCTTGAAGCAGGCTGTGTAACTGCCTTTGGAGAGCGTAGCATCAGAGACAGCTGACACCACAGCAGAGCTGGTGTCCAGCAGAGGAGGCTGAGTGCTATTTGGTCAGGGAAAGGGAAGAGCAGAGGGGACAGAGAACCCATGGAGGACAGGCACCAGGATCACAGGATTGTACCTTGAGCACCCCATGGAGTCCCCAGGGCACAGCCACACACCAAGAGCTACTAGGCATGGTGCTTTCTGCATGCCTGTGAAGGGCTTCACAAGATGTCCCTCCACATGGCAGAGGAGGGACATCATGATGTGCACAAAAGGAGAAAGTGAAATGTCATCTTCCTGGGTTTCGTTTTCCTTGTTTTGTGAGAAGCTGGGACTCAGGAGTTGCACTATAGTTGAGTGAAGAGCTCACAGGGCCCTTGGCTTCCAGCTGCACTGACCCTACCCCTTGAGCCAACCCCTGACCCTGCCTGGCCTTTGTGGGCCAAGCATGGACCAGGCACTGGGGTGCTATGGGAGTAGTCTTCCACCAACCTAACCGTGTACTCTTGGTGTGCCTAGGTCTGGATGCCAGCCCCCCGGCCAGCACTCATGAGCTCACCATTCCCAATGATGTGAGTATGCCTGTGCTTCCTTGACCCTACTTTATGACCTTTCCCTCCCTTCCCACATCAAGCAGTGTGGGTATTTTATGGGTATTTTAATACCCATAAAAGCCCCCAAGATACCAGATAAGAAAGGAGGAAACAGAGGTCTTCAGGGTTTACTTAGAATTCAGGAGCCAGAGCTGGCTGGGAAGCTGAGGGCCCCGCTGACCACATGTCAAGGCACTGCCCTGGTCCAGGGTTGGCCTTTGAAGAATGGGGCCTCGAGGGTGTTCTGGAGTGGCCCTGCCCCATGCTCCCTGGGTCTCTGGAGAGTTTGGGGTTCTCTGTGAGTCTGCAGGATGTGGGGATTTCATAGGTTTGTCTGGATTCCTGGATCTGTCATCCACATCTGTTCCTGCCTGGGCTCAGCTGAGGAGGTAGCCTTTTGGGCTCCCTTCACATTCAGTCCTCTCGGCATCATCCTCTGAATCCATGGATCATACTAAGAATGTTGACTCATATCCCCAACCCAGGACACCAGGGCAGATGTGAGCTGTGTGTCCTGGAGGGACAGCTGCCCTGAGCAACACAGAGAGGCTGCCGTGTGGGGGACATGGGCTTTCTTGCCCTAGAACTACCTTTGGCAGCCTTTACTGCTTTGCCCCTTGCACCAGCCCAGCAGGAAATCCTGTCTCTTCGCTTCAGTAGATGAGCCACAAGAAGCACAGACTTGTGACCACAGGGGGTGGCCTCCTTTTAGTGTGGAAGGAGATGGACGGTGGGACACTTGGACAGGCAGGCCTTCCAGAAAAGAGTGCTCTCACCAGGGCCCCTCGTGCAGCTGCAAGCCAGACTCCTAGCGGGAGCTCTGAGCAGCTTACCAAGTCTTTTTACCCACGTGATACGTGCAAGTTGCCTCTGCTCTGGATCTCCCCCTTTGTAGCCTTTCCCTAAACCACCATTTCACCAATGCCAGGTATCCTGCTCTGATCTGGACCTTTGTTTTAAAACTAAAATGAACCTAAAAGACAAGGATATAAGCTCATTTGGATAGCTGGTGTGTTTTTCCTGGGTCCCCTCCCAGTGCCTGGCCACCGCCCTCCTGATGCAGGAGCTCCTCGGTAGGAGGGCACCTTCTGGGACCTGAGTACCCTGCAGAGCACCTCCTTGACCCTTCCTGGCAAAGGATCTCATGCAGGGGACATGTGCCCCCTGGGCCTCCTGCCACCTTGGAGAGAAGGAAGGAAGTAGAATGCATCAGCTGGGACACTTGCCTGTCATCTTGTCCATTTTTGTCTCTTGGTCAAAGTTAGATCAAAGGGAGATTGTGCCAACACATACATGTCACCATAACTTACCTGCAGAAAGGAGCTCTGGAGGGCAAGATGAATGTGGTGACCTAAATGGTGCAGTGTCCACAGCACAGCCAGCCAGCCCTTGTGGCCTTGGGGACCCAGGCTAGGTACCAGAGGCTGTGCATGGAGCTGCTCCTAGCAGCTGACAGCCTTGGGTTCCATCTCTGATGGTCATAGCTATGCCCTCATTGCCGGTTGCACAGCTTGCCTCACTCATGTCACTGTGCCTGTGGTGTTCCCATGCTCAGGCCCCTGAGGGTTCACACAGGCAGCTGTAGGGGGTATGGTAGGGTATTTAGGCCACCTTAGTTCCTTTGGGGTTTGGCTTGGAAATCTGGTTAGGAGGGGGCTGTGTTATTTTTGAGAACTTCTGTAGCCTTTCTTTAAATGTCCAATGAGGCATGAAAGGCTTAGAGGAGAGCTGGTCTCTGGACTGAATGTTTAAGGGACCCAGAGAGCCAGAGGGGTTGTGTGAAAGGGCTGGCCTAGCACGCCTCCTACCAAAGGAACCAGTCCAGGGCCTCAGTGGTGTGGGCCTCACTCTCCTGTCCAGGTTAGTCGGGGCTGTGACTTCTCAGATCCCTCTCTAGCTGCTTAGAAGACTCTTATGCTCAACCAGGTGTCAGTGTCGGGGGCTGCACTGACAGCTGTGGTTTCTCATTAGCACTCAGACTGCACAGTTTTATCCGGAATGGGGGTGTTTCACATCAGCCATTTTGGGGGTGGGCAGAGAGCAGCTAAGGAGCCCTTGGGTGTGAAGACTCAGCTAGGGGAGATGCGCTGAGCGTGAGAAATAAGAGAGGGCTGGGCGTGAGAATGTTTCAGCAAGAAAATGGGAAGACTAACATGTTTAAGAGAATGCAGGGACAGCATGCCAGAAGAAATCGTCCTCAGATGGCTTACTGGAGCAGAAACGAGGCGGGCTGTGCCCCAGGCACGCAGCACTGCGTGGGCTGGGGAGGCCACTCACACTAAAGTGCAAAGGAACTAGAAGGGAAAGTGGGCTGCCAGACATTTGGTTTCAAGTGGCCAAGGAAGCTGTGAGGACAGAGGGAGGACAATGGGAGGACACACCAAGTCAAAGCAGGAAGCTCAGGTGGGCTCCTGAGTGCCCGCGTCTTCGGGAACTCAGCTGGCCCCACATTCTCCCTCCAGTGCAGCTGCCCCAGCAGGCCTGCCAGTCACCTGCCGTGACTGGCCCTGGTCAACGAGAGCCCTCAAGGCTTCTCTGTCATTGGGACGGTGCCAGGGAAGAGCAAGTCGAGGATCTCAGGCTGGTAACTGTGGAAGTCAATCTCCCTAACCTCAGGGCCAGGCGCAAAGGAGTGAAGAGTGAAGCTGATGAGATGCGAGCAGAGCCGGCGGAGGTCACAGGCCCAGGACTGTGTGGGCAAGGCCTGGGGAGATGTGGGTGGAGTTTGGGGGTACTTGGGCAGTAGGTGGAGGAAGCTGAGCAGCTTGGGGACAGAGGTTTGTCTGGAAATTTGAGGGGATTGTGTTATGGTCTAGTGTGGCAGCTGGTCTAACCTTAGGAGAGGAGCAGAGATGGCCTTATGGATGAGCAGAATTGAGATGCTGTAAGTCGCCTCAGAGAAAAGTAGTTGAGATGAACCTCTGTCCCCAGTGAGTTGTTGTCATCGCACAGGTTCAGAGTGCCTTCATTTGGAGATGGATTCCTTTCAGCCCAGCCCCAAACCCTGCACCTACCACCTTGCTGACATAAAAAATAAGAACTGATGTCACTACAAGTGCTGACACCCTCATCCAAGCTGCCACATGAGAGGTGGATAGGAAACCAACTGCACACACCCCACTCTTCCAGCCTCTTCTCTCTGTGCTCATGTTAAGAGCTCTCATTAATGGCCCCCAAGTGAATGAAGGGACTCAGTCCCGCCCATGGACTCAGACTCCCATGTACTTGAAGCAGGGTGGGCTGGGAGGAGCCAGAGAGTTGCTCCTGACCTCAGGCTGCACTCTGGCCCCACATATGGCTGTCCTGTGTCCAAAGGAGGCCCTGGCTCTTGTCCCTCTGGCTGCTTCATTCTCAATGACTATCTGCTTCAGACAGCTGAGTGTCCAGAGAACACTGCATTCATCGTTAAACAGAGGTCACAGGATGGGAAGGAAAGGGAACATCTGATATGTCCTCAGCATTTCACCCCAGTTTATCAAAGACAGTTTACATGCAGCCAGGAGCTTTTCTCTGGTTTCAGACAAACCTTCCACCACTCTGAGAACCCAGCCAAGAAACTGTCAACATATCCTTAATCTTGGTGCCGGTGTTGAACCTCTGGGCTCCATGTCTCTCAGGCTCCTAAAGGACACTGGGCAAGTGACAGCCATGTGACTCTCCAGTCTCCCGACTTGTCAGGACAGCTTGCAAATAGGGCACCAAGCAGAGACCTGGTGCCCACACCTCCCAGCCCTTCCACAGGAAGGCAGTGCCTCTTCCATCTGGAAGCAAGGAGTTGGTGGCATGGGATGGAGACCAAGGCTGGGCTATCCCCACCAGCTTCCCCCAGGGCTCTTCATATGCTGCTCAGGGCTGCCATGGGTTCTTCTCTAAGAAATTCCTTCATCCTTTTTTTCTAGCTAATAGGCTGTATAATTGGACGCCAAGGGACCAAAATCAATGAAATTCGACAGATGTCTGGAGCTCAGATCAAAATTGCCAATGCCACAGAAGGGTCATCGGAGCGCCAGATCACCATCACAGGGACCCCAGCCAACATCAGCCTTGCTCAGTACCTCATCAATGCCAGGTGAGCGCTGGTCAGTGGATAGAGTACTCAGAGACTGGCTAGCTGTGGGTGTGGAATGAGCCTCCCTCGGGGCTCCTTTTCCCTGGTTGGGCCTAGGCGTGGAAGGTGCTAGAGAGTCTCCACACAGGTGTGGGGGCTTTCCCACTTCACCTTTCACCCTGAAGGATCTTCAGTGAGGGGCTAGGTGATTAGAGGCAAGAGTATTTTTAGGAAGGCAGAGGCTATGCCATCCAGGATCCAGCCACACACATGGGTTCATTGAAATTCAGCATAAAGGATACTGTGGTTTCAGAGACATGTGACTAGGTCCTTCTGTTCTCGTGCGATGTGGCTGTAAAGACCCCCAAACCCAGACGCTTGCAGAGCAGTGCAGGAGGGAACTGTGCGAGGTTCTAGGTTGCGTGCTGGGGGAGGTGAGGTCCTGCGTCCCAGTCAGGGCACATGGTGAGGAGCCCAGAACAGCAGACAACTCTTCCGACCATTCCTGGGCCACTCAGCTAAGCCTCCCCGCCCAGGGCACATTGGAGACATGGTGTGACCACAGGGAGACGGGACCTCTCGGGGGCAGGAAGGCACGCTGCCTCTCCTCCACCTGGGGCCAGACCCTCTGCCCTACCCCAGAATGTTGAGGGGGCTGGAGGGAGATCCAGGTGGACAGGGAGGCAGCCTCTGTGGGCAGTGTGACTCCAGTGTCCCTCCCCAAGTGGTTGCCATAGAAATGGTTGTGGCAGCCTCTGACTGTCCAGATGGTTCTGGTTATGCACCTGATGTGGTGACAGGCATGGGGCATTGGGGTGGGGTCCTGTGGGCCTGGGAAGGAAGAACCCCTGGACCTGGTCCCTGCTGGGTCCTTTTTCCTCTGCTGGTCTGTGGTCTCCAGCTCCAGGCTGCTGAGCAGCAACCTGAGGCTCTCTGTCCAATAAAGAGAGAGACAGATTCCAAAACTGTGAGGATGCCAGAGAATGATGCATTTCCAGTATGATCTCATTTTATGAGAACGCTGTGACCTGTCTCCCTGTGCCTCTCTCTCTTCCAGGCTGACGTCTGAGGTCACTGGGATGGGCGCGCTCTAATCCTGTCCAGCATCCTCCACACCGCGAACCCTGGCGTCCACGTGGTTCACGTACCCTGTACAGACAGCCCACCCTTTGTCACAAATACAAATAGAGGTTTTCTTTACTAACAAAATGGTCTATGCCATAGAGGTACACATGCCGACAAAGCAAGTCTATATCTACAGCTGCCTGTGAGCTGCAGGCCCGTCCCTGACTCCGCTCATTCAATAACCTCTGCTCCAGTCTGCTCACACGTCCGCATGCAGTGCTTATTATGTTCAATGCTTGGGGGCGTTCCCATCTGTAACATTTTAGAAATATTGTTCCTTAGTGTCAGTGTAACTGTTTTAAAAGTTGGTTTAACATTTTGACAGCACATCCTATAAGCCATCCTCTCCTCAACCATCTAGACCTGTGGCTGCCCCTCTCTCACCTGGCCCCACCTGCTGACTTTGTTTCCCCTCGCAGCCTTGCTTGTCTTGGCCCATGTGTCCATGCAGGTCTTGTGTTGGGGTTAGGCTGTGCCCTTCCCCTTTTTCTTAGGGAAGGAAAAGTGGGTGCCAGGTCCTGATCTGAGAAGTGGGGTGAAGAGAGGGGTGCTAGGCTCTGATTTCACAGAGATGTCATGTGTAGGGGGCCACATATAAGCCCTGGGTGGCTTCCTGGGTCGCTGGAGGGCGTGGACTGGCCAGGAAGCACCTCTGCACCATGTCCAAGTTCAATAAATGTCGTGGGCTGCCCCCACTGGCTCTGGCTTCTCTCTGTGCCCCTTGCTCAGACCCCCCTCGCTCAGAACCCCCTCGTATGCACGTACATGTGCTCATGTGCCTAGTCACACACCCATGAGATCTGGCCCTACAGCCACCAGCTGTCTAACAAATCTGATTCTTTCTCACACAAATTAAGACCTTGTCCCCTACCTCCCGACCCTTTCTTAATTGTTTGACTTGCACAGGTCTTTCTAGTTGTACTTTTGCAAAATTACATAAATGACAATAGTGAAAACTCCATTTTGGCCCTGTTTCCAAAATGCCAGTTTCTAACTTGTGGGACTAGTTCTCCCACTGTCTTTGTGGGCGTGGGCAGGCAGGCCACCCACGGTGACCCCAGCCACTTCCCAGTGTTTACATCTCACCCTTTCACCAAACTGTCTGCTTGGCTCAACTCTGCTCAACTTGAATGGTCCCATGGCCCCTCTTTACACTAAAGCTCTAGCTGGGACGCAGACCCCAGAGAGAGGGAGACTCACAGATGTACAAAGACCATCTGCCTCTCCCAGAACCCATCAAGCATGCAGTGGCTGGGATGGTCTGCCCACCATACCTGCCTCCTTAGCAGGAACCCCCTTTCTGTCTGGCTCTGGCCACACCTCAGGTGCTCGCCTTGTGTGCCCAGGCCTCCGGGACATGCTTCCTTCGCCATCTCTGGAGTCTCCTGATAGAGGCTGAGTGCACAGAATAGCTACACTAGGCCACAGTACACACTGGATGGTTTAAGATTGTGCAGTTCACCCACCCACTGGACCCACTGGCCACATGCCGACCAACAATTGGGGCCTGGGAGGTGACAGGGATGTGGTGGGTGCAGACCTTCTTCTGGGCACCCCCATTAGCATGGGGGCAGCAGGTGGCCAGTGGACAAGGTGAGCAAGTGCCTCAAAAAGCAGTAGATGTGATAAACCCAGCAATGAGGAGGGCATCAGAACATCAGAAGTACGGGGTTCAATGGGCAGCAAGGTGGGCCCAAAAAGCTGCAGCCCAGGTGGGCCTGGATGGAGAACAGCAGGTGGAGGGGCAGCTGGAGCCAGGGCTGGGCACCAGAGCTGCTGCAGGTAACTTAGGGGTCGGGGGGCACAGGCTCCGGAGGCTGTGGGCACTGCCAGAAGATGGAGCCAAGCCAGGGAGCATGGATTCTGGAGGGGTTTTGAAGGAAGAACCAACAGGATTCCTGACAGGTAGAATGCGGGCTGTGAAAGAAAGGGTCTAGGCAGACAGAAGGCTCTCAGTCTGAGCTCCGGGGAGGCTGCCGGCAAGGTGTGGGAAGGTGGGGGAAGGTCTGGGACTGGTGGGGTTGAGGTATGCCAGCCCACCATGGAGGCGCAACGAGTCTAACAGGTGGCAGCAGCAGCCCAGAAGCAATTTGGGGAGTCCTAAGGGGGCTCCATGCAGGATGCCCTACCAGAGTCAGCATGGGGTTGGGGGCAGGGGTTGTGCCCAGATGGGATGACCCTGTGCCAGGCAGGTCACCTGCCCTGGGTGATGCCCAGTATGCTGAGGTGAGGGGGTGTTGTAAGGGTGGGCTCACCCTTGAGTATCTACAAATAAAACTACCAAGAACATTCATGTACAAGACCCTGTGTAGACATATTTTTCCATTTCTTTTGGGCAGATACCTAGGAGTGAAATGGCTGGATCACATGATAGGTATATGTTTAACTTTTTAAAGAAACTTCTAACCTGTTTTCTACAATGGTTGTACCATCCCACATTCCCCCAACCTGTATGGGACTGCCAGTTCCCCCGCACCCTCAGCAACATCTGCTAGCTCGATCTTTAATTCTAGCCATTGCAGTGGGTGCAAAATGGCATCTGGTTGTGGTTTTAATTTGCATTTCCAGTGACTAATAACGAGCATTTTTTTCATGTGCTTATTTGCCATCTATATCTTCTTTGCCAAAGTGTTTGTTCAAATCTTTTGCCCAGTTTAAAATTTGGTTTTCTTACTGAGTTTTGAGAGTTCTTGATATATTCTGGATATGAGTTCTAAGGTACATGTTTTGCAAATATTTTCATCTAACCTGTAGCTTGTCTTCATTTTCTTAATTATGTCTTTGGAAGAACAGAAGCTTTTAATTTTGAAGGAATCCTAACTATTAATTTGTTCTTTTATGGATTGTGTTTTAGTGTCATAGTTAAGAAATCACAAAGATTTTTTTCATTTTTTCTTCTAGAAGTTTTGTCATTTTATTCCCCCTCTGAATTGCCTTTGCACCTTTATCAAAGAGCAGTTCTCCATATATGTGTGGGTTTATTTCTGGACTCTCCTTTCTGTTCCATTGATCTATCTTTATGCCAATACCATGCTGTCTTAATCATTATAGCCATATGAGTCTTGAAATCAGATAACACCATTCTTTTCAAAGTTATTTTGACTATTATTCTAGGTCTTTTATTGTTTTTCCATATGAGTATTAGAATCAGCTGCTAATTTCCCACACACAAAAAAACATCTGCTGGAGTTTGGGTTGAGATGTTGTGGACCTGTCAATTAATTTGATAATAATTGACAACTTTAACAACAAAGAGTTATTTGACCCATGAACAGGTATATCTTCACTTTTTTATATTTTAGTTTTTTAGCAATGTTTATATTTTTCAGTGTACGGTTTACAAATATTTTGTCAGACTTATCCTGAAGTATTTCATATTTTCTATACTGTTTTAAATTTTTAATTTTAGTTTATACTCAATCATTGTCAGTATATAGAAATACAGTTGATTTGTATTAATTAATCTTATATCTCACAACCTGTGCAACTAACTATAATTATGGAGTTCTCTATTTCTCCTTGCATTTCTATTTTCACTTTGTTTTGAAACTCTATTGTTAGGTGCATAACTATTTAGTGTTGTTATGTCCTCTAGATCAATTGACTCCATTATTATTATGAAATTGCCTTCTTTGCCTCTAATATTATCCTTTTCTCTGATATCCACTTTGTCTGACATTAATACAGCCACTATAGCTTTCCTAATATAAGTGGTAGCATGGTATATTTTTTCCACCCTTTTTACTTTTAACCTAGTTTTGTCTTATATTTAAAATTAATTGTCTTTTTAATCCAGTCTGATAATCTCTTTCCTTTGGAATATTTAGAACATTTCCAATACCAACATGATTATTGATATATATATAGATTTAAATCTATCATATATTTACCCACCTTTGTTCCCTTTTTCTTTATTTTCTGACTTCTGGATTCACCTAGTATTTTTATGATTCCTTGAGATCCTTTGTTAGCTTATTAGCTATAACTCTTTATTTTGTTATTTTTGATTCAGGGTTTATAAACTTCTCACAATCTACCTTCAAGTGATATACCACTTCACACATACATATGTAAGAAACTTAAAATAGTTTACTTTCACCTCTTCCCTCATGGCTTTTATACTATTGTTATACATTTTACATATACATATGTTATAAACTTCATATGTTGCTATCTTTTTTGTAAAAATTTATCTCATGTTTTTAAAAGATTTATATAAGAAAAAAATCTTATATATTTACCCATATGGTTACCATTTTCAGTGCTTTTCACTTCTTTGTATAGATCCAGATTTCTGCCTAGTATTCTTTTCCTTCTGCTTGAATCTTTACTATGTCTTATAGTGTAGAGCTGCTGGTGAGGAACTTTTTTGGAATATATGTGTGACAAAACACTTCTTAACCTTTGCTTTTGACAGGTTTGCTTGGGTTTTGGTTTGCTTGGGTTTTGTTTGTTCAGCACTTTGAAGTTGTTGCTCCACTGTCTTATCACTTGCATTGTTTCCAACAAGAAGTTCGCAGTGATCCTCATCTCTGTTTCTCTGTATGGAATGTGTCTTTTTTTTTTTTATTGGCTGCTTTTAAGATCTTTCTTTTTATTGATGGTTTTGAGCCATTAGATTATGGTGTGCCTTGTTATAATTTCTCAAGTGTCTCATGCTTGTGTTTTCTTGAGCTGCTGGGACCTCATGGGTTGATAGTTTTCATCAATTAAGGATATTTTCAGCCATTATTTCTTAAAATATGTTTTATGCCCCCCACTCCATGCCTTTCTATCCTTCAGGGCCTCCAATTACATATCTATCAGACCACTTGAAGTTTTCTCACAGCTCACTGCTGTGTTTATTTTTTTAATTCTTTTTTCTCTGAGTGTTTTATTTTAGGTTGTTTATAGCAATGTCTTCAAGTTCACCTTCTCTTCAATAGAGTTACTAATCCCCTCCAGTCCTTCCAGATGTTTTTTTCCTCTCCTTGAGTGCTTTCCTTAGTCACATGTATTGATCAGGACTCTGCTAAATATTGAAGAGGGGCTACCAGGAGACCTGAGCTTCTCTCTCCATATAGCTCTGTTCTTTTCAGTACTCTCTCCTGAAAATGCTCACTGCCTTGACCTTACCAGAGTCTGGGTTAGATCTCATTTAAAGGAATCCTCCAAGCACCACAGCCTGGAAAATCTCAAGACAGTTGACTAAGCAATTGCACACTTAGCTGGTTTGCTTCCTCTCTCTCTCTCTGAGTTTCACTGTCCTTCATTGCCCCACATCAAATGTGTTCAAAATCATTGTTTCTTATGTTTTTTTTTGTTTTATTTCATCTTGTTTCAGGCAGAAATATAAATCTTCCTTGTTATTCCATCTTGGTGAGAAGCAGTAGTCTCTGGTTTATTCATTTTATTTACCCCTGCATTTTATACGCATTTTCCCATTAAATCAATTCTTCATCAACTATTTTTATTAAATTAATCACATTATTTATTTCATGTATACATTTTTAAGTGCTCTGACAAAATTGTATCAAATTCAGAGTTAGTTTAACAATTTCCATTACCTGAAAAATGCCCGTTTTTAACACAATCTCTGAGATGTAAACCTCTTAAAATGTAGTAATTGTGACAACTTAGCACTTACTGAATGTTCTTTCTGTTTCTCTAGACTGAGAACCAGTGTGCTCTTCTTTGGCATGTGTGCTCTGACATTATATTTTTGCTGATGGCCACCTGGGTGTACCAGTACATTTACAAAACAAATCCACCTCCCACTAATTTGAGAGGCACCTTTGCATATACTAACCTCCTGGGGGCATTGAGTCTGCTCAACCTTCTGTTCTAACCCTCTGGCCCATCCATTTATGAAAGTTCATGCTGTGTTAATTTCTAGGCTTTATAATATCATTCAACAAGGCTAATAACCTGTTATTACTCTTCTTTTTTAAGGTCTTGTTTTTTTAAACTTTCCATCCAAACTTAGAATAAGCTTTCTTATTCCAAAATAAAACCAGTTGGTATTTTTATTAGTCTACATTACC